GGCCACTTACTAGTTGTAGTACCTACGAAGGTCTTTCTTCTTTCTTTCCTTTTCTTAAATGGCAGTACTGGGGATTGAACCCAGGACCTCAGGCATGGTAAGCATGTGCTCTACCACTGAGCTGTACCCACCCCTCACCCCAAAGGAAGATCTTTTCTAAAGGACTTGGGAGCCATCCCTTAGAAGTATAATCATTAAAAATGTTAGCACCCTTATCTGCCAGTCTTTGTGGGAGCCTGCCTTCCTGTCAGCAGGCTGAGTCTGGTCTCCCACTTCTGACTGCAGCAGTCTTGACCTCTGTTGGATTATGGGTAAAGTCTTCCTTGCCTGTTTAACTGGTCAGATGCAATTTTTCTTATATAAGGACCCTGAGCCAGAAGTATTTTTTTTTCCTGAATTCAAGAAAATGTTTCCAGATCCAGGGGTCAGAGTTCAATAGCATAACCTAAAGCTTCTGAAATGACAAGGAGGGCGAATATCATGGACGTGCTAGTGTAGTGGTGACAACGAACACTAGAAAAGGAGGCGGTGGAAAGAGGAGGAGTCGTGCACTGGCCCCAGAAACCCTCTGGGGTGTGGACCAGGAAGGTGACCCTTGCACCCAGAAAACAAGATGCCAGGCGGCCGGGTAACACTGTTAAAACCAAACAGAAGGCTGTCTTGTTTCTCCAGAGCAGTGGTTTCTCAAGCGTGGTTTGTGGACAAGCAACTTGAACTTTACCAAATCCTTCCTGGGGTCCTGAGGCAAAGCTGAGAAGCACTGCTCTGGACATCGAGAGGGAGGGACGCAAGCGAAACAACACGGTGTGGCCAGGGTGGAAACAGATGTCCTAGTCTTATTTCTCAACCACGGGGTCACCGGCGAGAAACAGCCGAGGCTGCACTGTGGACACCACTGAAGTCCTTTTCCCCGTGTGGCTGTGATGACACCGTGGACCCACAGGCCTGCGCTGGCGCTCTGATGGGTGGCCGCTGCCGTGCTCGGTGCCAGGGGCGCACTGAGGGAAGGACAGCCCGGATCTCGGGAGGATGTGCTCCGACTTTAGTAACACTTTACCCAAAATGTAGGAAAACATGTTTCCCACTTGGAAAAAGTCTCCTTATTATCTGTTGGAAGCTACAACCTATGTACTTGGGGGTGGAGAAGAGTAACTTAAATGTCACAGCTCCAGACTCAGTTTCTAAAAGGTCACGCAAAGTTTGCAGCTCCACTGTGAACAGTGCGGTGAAACTGGGAAACGTGTGCTGTTCTGAAGCTCCGTGACAGCAAGACTGACAGCTCCGCTTCACAAAACCATCTTGGAAACTGGAAGTTTGTTTTGACACCCTATCTGGAGCTTCTTCTTTTTTTTTTTCCTTTCCACTCCTGTACCTTGACAAGCTTTCAAATGGAGACACTTAGATTAAAAGAAAAAAAAAATGTCTGAACCACTTACAATTTCTCATCATGCTTCAAAGAACGTGGCATTTTCGCATTCTCGAAGCGTTTTAAATGTTTCCAGAGAGCTTTGCTTTGGAAATGATTGGGGGTTGGTGCACGGAGGGTGAGGATTAATTTAAAAATCTTAAGAGCTCTTTTGGTGTGCTGGAATTTTTAAGTGCACCATTTAAGGTACTCAGTTTCTGCGTTTGAAGGAGATTTAAAACTATTTAACCTTTCTTAGTTTACAAGAGCTCAAGTGCACCACAGTGGAGTTTCTTGACTTCAGTTGCTGCAATAGTGGGATATAAGAGCAATTAATTAGACTAAGAAATCAAGAATTCACCAGTTGGTGAATAAAAATGACAGAAGGAAATGTGAGCCCACCTGAATCTTTCTAAGAAACAGAATACATATACACACACACACACACGATATATGTATGTATATATACACACATACGTTATATATATGTGTGTATATACATATGTGGTGGCTGTGACTAAATGCTATTAATTTTCTGCTTATGTAGGAAAACACAAGATAATTTCTTAGGAAGCACTTGTCAACAACATAATTATGTTAAGGCATCAGCATAATGAGCCGAGATCTCAGAGTCTCCCCCAGCGCTGGTGGGAAGCCTGGTTGGGGAGGTATTCACGATGGAGGGCAGTCCCTGTTCACCGCTGGGTGGTGGTGTCCTTTCTTCATTCCCCGCAGGGCCCTGGCCTCCCAGTCCCTGCACACCCAGGCCATGAACACACCGAACGCATCAGCAGTGTATCATGACGCCCAGGGCACAACACTGGATCACAACTCTCTACCCCAACCCAGGCAAAGAGTCAGGGCCTTCAAACCTCTGAGGCAAAGCCAAACCCAAGCCAGAAGGGAGTACATGCTAACGTCAGGAACTTAAGTTCGCGGAGGGCTACTGAACTGTCATCTGTCAACTTCCTGGGATTTTCTCATATTTTAATTGTGGCCACTTGAAAATACCTTGAAAATAATGGTGAGGGGCTCCGGGGAGACAAGTGCTCATGCTGGCAGGCTGGGGGGGGTGGGTTGTGCGGGCTCACAGGGGCCTCACCATGCTGACACTTCAGTCAGCGTCAAGTTGTTCTAAGTTAATGGTTCTCCTAGATCGCTCATCCTCATGCATCTCCCAAAGACTGGCTATGCAAACCTAATTACCTACGTCAAAAGATCACTACTCACTTAGAAGAAAACAGGGGGGAAAAAAAGGAAGCATGCGTCTAGCTGCTTAGAAAAATTGAAAGCATTCTGAAGCTCACTTTCCTTATCTGCAAAGCAGGGACAAAAACATCAAATAGAAATTATGAAAATAAGCAAGAACTAGTGTTTACTGCAGGCTTGTAACCTGCAGGCATAATTTGAATTGCTTTGTGTATATTAACTCTGAGCCTTTGGGATAACCTTGAAGCACAGGTCCCTTTTCTCAGATGAGGAAACAAACAGGTTAAGTAACTTGCCCTGGATCATACTAAGCGCACGCTGTGGGTGGAGCACAAGCTTGGCGGGAGAGCACGGGCTTGGTGTGCCTGAGGTCCTGGGTTTAATCCCCAGTGCCTGTTACGGAGGAAAAAAGAAGTGTACTAAAGCAAGAACTGAAACTATTAATACCATAATTAGCTCACACTGTGGTTTAAAGGAATAAATCATCATAGTAAATTAAAAAAAACAAGCTAACCTTTGTTAAATAGTTGCCTTGTGCAGGTGCCTTGGTAACTATTTTTATATAAATGATCACATTTAAACTTTAAATAGTCTGCCAAGTCTGCATTCTATTACCACCTACATTTCATAGGTAAGGATGCTAAAGATTTGAGAGGTGCATGACTGGACCTGGCACACAGCTAGCGGGGGCCCACATTGCTACTTAAATTGCATGTTCTGACTTGGTAGCTTTTCCCCGTAAGTCACATCATCATCTTTAGTTAACTGGAAGTCAGAGAGAGAGGTGCCTCTACAGCTTGGGTAGAATCCTGAAACGATCACAGGACACATAAACCCACTCAGTACTAACTACCTGCTTTGGACAGCTTCCCGGTGCTCCTTGTGCTGGACGTGCTGTCGCCTCTGGTTAGCACCGTGATGCCCCCAAAGCTCG